CTGGTCACATGGCCACCACACACACTCCCACAAAGCAGGCCACACCTACAGAAGAGGGTATATAAAAAAAATTAAACCCACCACTGGTGTGCGCACTCCCTTTTTGGCACTTGTTGCTAAAAAGGTTTGCCATCCCTGTTTTAGGCTGCAAGTCCAAAAAGTCTCAGCCAGCATGACCAAGGATAATGAGTGTGGTAATCCAAACTGCACTGGTTGGGGGGAAAATGAGTGTGTGTGGGAACATTCCTACATGTCCTTCTGCTTGATTACCAAACCTTGAGCAACAGCTCTATCTTTTCTGCTTTAATATATTTTTGGAGGAGAGACAAAAGAGAGGGTGGGGGCAGAGCAAATGACATGGTCGTCTCATAAAATAGATACTGAGAAGCAGGAGGAATACCTGTGCCGCCTCAGCTTGCCTCGACAATGGAATATTTTACTGTAATGGATTCTTTACACAGATGTGGAACGCAGGAAGACCTCTGTTTGTGGATTTGTTACTCCTCTGGATGGGTCTGAAGCAGATGAGCATCGAAAGCCAGAAGTAAGTGGTGCAGCATTTTCTCCATATCATGAGTGTGTGTGTGACTGTGTGTTTATAGATGATGCTGAAGGTACAAGCATGAAAGATTAGGTCCACATGTGAAGGTCCAATTAAACTGATTTATTGCTACTTATGCCTGTGCACAGGTAAATTCTCAACTAATGGTTAGCATTTGCTAAGAATTAGATAAAGATTTAACAGAATTGAAGTGAGGGAGGTGAGGGGGCTGGACTGTTTGTGGCTATGTAGAGATTCTAGGCTACTCCCTCTTTTAACTCTTCCCCCAGGTTTTACCACTCCTTCCCCTACAGGGTGTTAGGAAAAGTCAACAAGGTTCACACAACATATTTGGCTTTGTCTATGAAGATTCTCAGTCATCAAGGTCATGGTTGTCCCAAAAGGTTTTTTTTCCCAAACAGCAACTGGACTTTCTTGATTTTTCTTGAAGAAGTTTTACTTCTCACCCAAGAAGCGTCTTATCTTCAAAAAAAAAATCAAGAAAGTTCAGTTGCTTTTGAAAAAAACCCACCTTTGGAGATCTCTGCAGTTTTCATGCAACACACAGTCTGATTGCTGAATCAAAAATGCAAAGTTTTTGGATTGCAAAATACACTCTATATAAGCAGCAGAGTTCATAGAACATATATAAATCACCAATGATCAAGGTTAAAATTAATCCAGTATTGGGAGTCCTTAGAACCACTTGGAGTTGCTGGGAATTGAGCATTTAATATTTAATAAATTATTGACATTATTAATTTATCAGACAGTGAAAACAAGAGCATCTTGTGAACTGGGTCAGTGTTTCCTTATGCTTGTCTTTTTCTCCCATCTTCCTTTTATTGTGCTATACCATGAAATGTTTATTTCTGTTCCTGGACTGTTATATGGTCCCAGATATCGTTTAAAAGCCATGCGTTATAGTTTAGTGTGATGTTATCCATCTTAATCTACTCAGCAAGATAGTATTAGTATTGTGTTGGAGACCTTTAAATATTTAAATATCTTTCCCTTCAAGTACATGGATAATACATGTTAATATTAAAATGGTTTTATCATCCCAAAAGCCAGGCTGAACTTGGAAAATTGCAATTTAAAAAATGTATTATTATTTTTCTTTTAATCTATTCTTCTTCTGGCTTGTTGTCTTCCTTCTTCAGGCAGTTGTGCTGGAGGGAAACTACTGGAAGCGAAGAATTGAGGTGGTAATGAAAGAGTATCACAAATGGCGGACCTACTATAAGAAAAGAGTAAGGATTTGTCTCCCGTTCTCCTGACAATGTTATCAAGCTGACCTGCTTGGAGGTGGGGGGGATAGAAAAAAATAGACTCCGTATCTGTCCTCAGATACTTCCTGATGTCATCTGATTGCATCTGCCATTCACCATTTGCTGATGACAGGTTGACAAAAGAGGACTAAAAGTAATGGAGAGAGTCAAAAGTCAAACCATGAGTTGGGTAATAGCTCCACCTAGAGGCTCAGTTGGTCTTTGATTAGGAATGCCCACAGTTTGTTTACCTTTCCTAAGATTCACAAGAAATGGCAACTTTTGGCTCTGGAATTTCTGCTTCTGCAAGCTTGTTCTTATTATTATGTTATTATCTATATACCATATGGGGAGTGCGGTGGCTCAGTGGCTAAGACGCTGAGCTTGTCGATCAGAAGGTCGGCAGTTCAGCTGTTCAAATCCCTAGCGCTGCATAACGGAGTAAGCTCCCATTATTTGTGCCTAAAGGAGAAAACTCCAATCAGGAGGTGTGAAATTTTTCGCACATCCTTGTACCTTAAGGATAGCTGAGATTACCTGAAAGAGTATTAGGAACCACTAGAGCCATCTACCTTATTTAAGAGCATTGTCCTTATTAGCATGATTCAAACTACCTGTCATTTTCATTCCCGCTGAAATGAGGGTGACTTCTGATTGTCTTTTAACAGCTCCAATCAGAAAACGTGTCATTCCTCAATTGAAATCCAAGTCTAACATAGCATTTCTCTTACAGCTCCACAGGTTTAGCCGGGAAGGGGAAGTTCCCAGCCCAAAACCGGTGAGTGAAGATAATCTGGTTGAATCCATTTGGAGTTGCATATAAAGGGTGTTCCGACCTAGGATTCCCAAAAGCACGAAGCCAACTCCTTGTCCCGATAAAACCCTTTTTATTTAGTTTAAAGTAAATTCCTCTCCAGCCAAGTCCCAGCTAACAGTCTTTCAAGAGATTTCACAGCTACAGACTTTTATCAGGCTTGGAGAGCTGCCAGGCCGATATCATCCAAACACCACTCTGTAGCAGCAATTATTTGGCAAGAAGTCAGGAACAGATCTTCACCCTAATGAATAGAACTAATTGTCTCCTGCAAACTCCCTTCCCCTTTTGCTCCTCTTTATTCCCTATGGGAGGGGCCATTCACCGTCCACCTGTGGCCTTTCTCCTG